GGGTTTCTTCTTTATAGAGACATCATTCTGTTCAATCTACTAAACAGATTAAGTCAACCTTAACACATGTCTCATCTGACACAGAGTGTCCACAGCCAATGTCACATGAGGTAGTTGGGCTGCTTATCAACATTCTAGTGAATCTGTCAAGACACAGGGGACTCAAACATCAAACATGCATAAGACTGGCTCATTAGCCTTCTGGGCAGCAAGAGAGTTACTTCTAACTTACTCTTCTCGTCATCACCAATTCCACATACACCTATAAATAGACATATATACACAGGAGTCTGTGTAGATGAAATCACCTTTGTAAGGGGTTCTAACCAATCCAGGTGGCTTCTGCTTACAAAGTACAGGGAGGAAATACTGACCACACATTGAAATTCATGAAATACATGTAATAGAAAGGATGGTGCTTAAATTCAGCATTTTTCTTCCTTGCATTCTCACACAGTTTAGTGGAAAACAACAGTTCACTTCAAAAGAGAAGTGCTTAAACATAGTAACTAAAGAACTATGAGAACGTTTGCATTGCAGTCATGGTATGTTTTTTCCTTTTAATGAAAGGCTACATAAAAGCAGTGGAGGAGAAAGATCAATGCATGCACCAACTGCGCTGCGGAGGATCTCTTAATCATGCCCTGGAGTGCCTTGATGCAGCAGTGCTGGGAGAAAGCATGCAGCTGGCCTCTGCACAGCACTGCTGACACAGGGAAGGCCTAGTGAAGAGCATGTTCATGAACTGCTGAAAGAACCGTGAACAATCCTGTCAGATAAGAAATCTTAAATATGGTCAGACAGCTAGTGATTATTTTTTATGTCACTATTATGAAACCCCTGAGTAAGCAACTGTGGATTACAAAGGGACAACCAGAAGCAGAACATAGTTCAAAATCAAGCACTATATATACATTCACAGGAACACTGGAGTTTGTGTACAGGCTGTACCAGATCACAAAGAGGAACCGAAGTTGGGTCCTCTTAAAGCAAACACAGTAACTCAGATAACCGAATAAGGACAAAATAAATTTTACTTAAAAATCCTAAATCTAAAAGGTTAAAAAATGTGGATAATTTCCTTTAAAAAAAAAAAAAAAGAAATGAAGCACAAGGGTAGGGAAGCTGAAGAGTTGTAAAATTTATAATTAAAATCAGAAACAACTGATTGTGATTGATGATGTAAAATGCAACACTAAGTCACCAACTTTTTGGAGGACATGGTATTTTAGTACAGGAAAAAACATAAAAATAGTTTTCTTCCCCAGAGTACCCACAATACCTAACATCTTCTTATATCACTAATGATCCTGTGACTCTACTGCCTTAGATGGTGTTTCTCTCTATAAGTGGAAACAGACTGTTTCCATAGTAAGCTACGTCTCACTGCATCTAGCTCTTACATTCAAATTTAATAAAGTGAAGAATACTTTACTTGTTGTTCTCCACCAACTTTTTCTTAATTAAACATTTTGGATCTATACATATAGCCAAATAATCAAAGAGAAGACTGCATGTCTCCCCAGCAGCTTTCATCTAATAAAGACGCCTTCCCCAGATGCCACACATCATGTCATGGCTGTCACCTGCTTCACGGTGACTGCTACAAACAGAAACATGGCTTCTTTAAGCTCTTGCAGTCTGGGAAGAATGGAATCCCTACTGCTGGGACACCGAACCCTGGCCTAGGTAGGTGCATTCCAGATACTCCACAAGGGAGAAGAGGCTGCTAAGGAATGGGATAGAACTGCTAACAGGGGATGCACGAGGCTCTGGCAGGGCACTGCTGGCAACCTGTAGAGGCAGAGAAAAGGAGAGAGAAGCAGCAAGTTTCAACTATGGTGTCCGGACAACTGCATCATAGAAAATGACTTTTGGGAAGCTTTATGTTTGAGATGACCTGTATGTAATGATGTTAAAGGCCCCTCAAGCCATGCTTACATATCTTAATGGACATCTCTCGATTTCAGTCAATTTGAGAAAAAGTTAAACATTTTAGAGTCCCACTCCTAAAACTACCTGCAGAGCTGGATCAAGAGCTGATGAGAAAAATCATCTTTACCTTATAGTTATGAGTTATGAGTTGGTTTTATGCCTCAAAAGGTACCCCTCCCTCCAACTTAACATTTTTCACTTGTAAAAAATATCATCACTTGTACAATCTAAATGGCACTTGGATTGGATATTAGTTTATAATATCTAGAGAATACATTACTTTTTCTGAAAGGTTCTCTAGAAACCCCCAACACCGAAAGCGAGTGCTTGAGCCTGGCGCCTTAGGCCACCTGACCATCCTGACAGAGATTTAGGCTCTCTCTAAAGGTTACTCTAGAATCTTAAAAATGTTTTGGTGATGAGAACAGCTAGTTATTCTGTCAACAAACACACTGGTGTTTTCTCATCTCCTTCCACTGTCAGGATGAAAGAAAGCTGAGATGTCCCAAAAGTCTTGGAGGATTGTGGAAAGCTGTAATCTTTCCTCATAGGGTCCTTTCTTTGAAAGTAATCTCATATTACGACAAATTACAACTTTAACTAAAATAGAGAAGCAAATACTACAGATACAGAGGAGAGCTCTGTCTATGCCAAATCAGGTCAAGGTGAATTTCCTGTTTAGCATTAGGTAATTTTGGCATTAGATAATTTTTAGTTATTTATAATGTAAGGACCTTCAGGGCTTACACATCTTAGGCAAACTTACCATCCTTCAGTGAAGAAAATACCTATCCAAAAATATCACTTTTTATAAAGCTGGAGGTAACTTATTCAAGTTATTTAAGTTATTCTAATGTGGGTGTCCAATGATTTCAGATAATATTAACTCTTTCTCCAGAAAACTGGGTCATATAAACTGAGGCCTGACCTATGTAAATGTGAAATGCCTGTAACTAGCAGCTTTCATTTTGTGTGTATTCAAGGCCTAGGTGGCAAATCTGAGTGTTTACCCACTTCCCAAGAGACGACACATGTTCACCTGAGGTGAGAGGGAGCACCTGCTTAGATCAGTCGTTTCACAACAGTCCCTTGGTAGCGAATTATGCCGATCCTGCCACCACATTACTCTAGCCAGAGAAGAGCTCCACCCTAACAGCACACAGGAGTGGGGGCAACAACCACACACACCTTGGTACCCATCACCAGCAAGTGCTACATATGAAAAAAATCAATGTTATCTTAGCATTCTTTTCTAACCCAGCCTTACAAACATCTGACTTTTTGCTTTTCTAAATTTAAGCATTTCCCAGAAGTCCTAATGTGAGCTGAGTACCTGCTTCATTAAGAAGAGTTCAATAAATGCCATTTGTTTAAAGACAGCCAAAAGACAAAATCAATACCCCTCCTGCATTAACCTCTGCCCGAGCAGAGGGCTCTTTCTGTCATAGGGCTTTGTGGCAGGGAGTCTCAGCAGGAGCTGCTACAGAGGCATTCACCTACACCTCTCAAAGGAACTCAGTTTACTCTGGGTCCCCATCTCAAGCTGCAGCTTCTCTCTGTACACTAGAAGGAAGCAGGCCTCCGGCTGCTCTCCCATGCACGTTCTTGGCAGCATCACCGACTGAACCACAGCCTTAGTCCCAGTGTACTGTATTTCAAGAGAATGTGTACCTATGGTTATTTCATGGCAGATTCAAAGCTCATCTTTAAATTTTACATGGTCTCAAAGCTTTTGAGGCTGCATTTAGCCTGCTCTGAGCTATTGGTGATTAAACCAAAATTGATCAGAGCACGTTCAGAACTGTGGTCCCTGATGCAAAGCCTAGGTCTGCTGGCTGGCGCTGATGTTGGTTCAATTAAGAAAACTGCTGAGTAAAATTGCTCCACTTTTCATTTTCCCTTAAATATTTTATTTAAATGATACTCCTTTTACTTTTTGAAAAAAGAACATAATTAATTCACACAGGAGACTGTGAATTCTGTAAACTAGAATCCTTTCTAGTGGTTCACTAACTCTATGCATAAATGTCATTTGTGAAGTTTAGCAAATGTAGTCTCATGAGCCGCCCTCCCACATTCTGGTTCTTCAGGTCAGTCAGGGTGAGGCCTGAGAATTTGCATTTTGAATAGCCACTCCATGTGATTTTGATGCTGAGATGGTTGAGATCACACCTACACATCACTTGGTTGCTCTGTTTAGAGGCTGTGTAACTATGAGCGAACCATGACGAAAAACTCCCCGTAGCTAAGAGGTGGCACTGTCTTGGAAGAGCCACCCTTCAACTTCTAAACTGTCCTTCTGAAATTAGGAGATATTCTGAACATCACAATTTTGCTGTCATGTCCACATGAGATAATACACGGGATAAAATGTCCACATTAGCTAATACATGCTGCCAAAATATGGGTACTAGCTAGGGGTCATCTCAGACAACTGTCCCCGTGGCCCCATACTGGCCTCCCGCTTGGGGCCATGACATATCACTCACCTCCTAAGTCACAGTCATGGCAAACAGGGTGACCCTTCTTGTTTATATCTACTCTGCCTTCCTTGCTGACAGATCACAGCAATGCCCTGACCTGACTACACAGGTTCTTGCCAAGAGTCTGAGAGGGGGTTCTTTGATGAACTGGGGATTGAAAACTATACCTCTCAATAACTTTAATAAAGGGGCCTAGCTTCCTTCCAAATGTTTAGTCTAAGTTCAGTAAAACACTGGCTATCAATGATAGTCCTTGACACAGAATATGCTCATTTTCAGCTTAGGCTTGGGCAGCCTGTAAACTGAAAGCTAGAAACAAAACAAAACACAAAACCAACATATTCATCTGTCAAATTTGTTCTTATATCTTGCTGTTCAAGTCTATATAACAAAGCTATGATTTGGTTTCCAGAAGGCCCTTTAAACTGAAATATATAGCACCTTGATTTTTAAACACACAAAACATATATGCCTTAAAAAAATTAAATATAAAGCACTAGATTTTCCTTCTTCCTCTCCATCCCCCCAGTTAGGTATTGAAGAGGGTTGAAGCTGCTGCTGGAAATTAAGTAGGGAAACAAAACACTTCAGCAAACATTCTTCCCTGAAGTTAGGAGGCAGCTGTCCCGAAGATGTCATACCACCTCGTCGGACTCCAGTCCATGGACCTCGTATAAAGCGTCCAGTATCGCCAGCTGCTTTTCCATGGCAGGGAGGTAAAGGCTGAGGTCCCTCTGCATCCCAGCACTGAAAGCTGCTTTCTGGTGGTCACCTTCCTTTATGGTTAATGCAGCCACAAAGTCTTCATAGGATGGAGCTGCCCTCAAAGCTAACTGAAAAAGAATTTCTGTGAGAATCTGCCTCATACATCTCTCGCATGCTTTACTCTAATGCAGGTGTACATGGCAAACACTCGCATACATGGACATGACTGAGGAGAGCAAAAGTAAAAGAAACAAAAAAAGGAACATACCCTAACTTGTGAACTTCAAAAGTCACATTTCAAGTACCAAACCAAACTAAATAATTTTAAGATTAGACAAGAAAAGCACTTGATGAGAATTAATAATGCTATCAAGGCTGAGGATAAATAGTGAGAAAAAAAAGGTTTGAGAAAAGCTCCCTTCTCAATGACAGTGATCCAGAATCAACCTATGCACACACTGTGACTGTGATCTTCACTCCGCTGTAGCCAGCCTTCCAGAGCACCTCATACTCCTATTTGTGTCTGATCTTCATATAGATTTCTTTGCATATCTCTTATCCCCACTCCCTGACAATATTTCATTTGCACTCTTGAATATTTTCTAAAAAGGGAGCTAACATTTGTTGTTTGCTTATGCACTGATGCTTTAATGTATTTTATCTCAGTTAATCTTTATAAGAATGTGTATAGTTTACATTCCTATATTATAGATGAACATCACATAGCTAACAAGTGTTAAGCCTGGACCTGAACTTGGGCTCATCTCTATGCTTTTTTTTTCACAATGCCACCACACCATATTGCTTTCCCGATGGAAGATTTCCTAGGCTTCTTAGATCTTCCCTCCATTCACAAGCCAACTGTTCCATAAGCTTGCTAAAATCTGCTGTCTGGTATTCACTGGGTTGGTTCTGCTGAGATCTTAGTGCCTTTCTGGTATCTTTAATTATCATCCTATAGATGCTTTCTTGAGCTTTTGCAAGCTATGAGAGCTTTTGTCAATTAATTCTCCCACACTTTCTGCAGTAGGAGAGTAGCACTATCATAGGATGATTAAAGAGCAGGTGTGGTTGAAGAAGACTAAATCCCAGACCTGTCATATAACAGCTTGAGGAAATTAAACAAGGTGCTCAAGCAAGCACCTCAGTTTTCTCATCTGTAGAGGACTACTGCCATTTTCTTTATTTGATGACTAATGGGATAGGTATAAAGAATTTAGCCCACTGCCTGACACACAATGGGTATTCAAGTAACAGTAGAAATATAAGGGAGAGAGAGAGCAGATAATAAAGGGAAGCAATTATCCAAAAACAGAATGAGAAAATTTACCAAAATGGAAGAATATGAGTCTCTGGATTTAAAGAACTACCCAAGTGTTCAGTATAATGAATGATAAAGACCAAAATGAGTATCTTGAAACTTTAGAATGTAGAGATAAAGATTGTATAAGCACCCAGAAAAGGGAGGGGGAAGAGTTTACATAAGATGGAACAGGAATTAGAAAGAAATTATAAATTACGATAGAAACAGTAGAAGCTAGAGGATAACAAAATTTTGAAGGAATCTACTGATTTACACCTTTTTTTTTTTAAGATTTATTTATTTATGCATACAGAACTGGGGTACAGTCCAGAGGTACAGGGCAGTGAGAGGATTCAACAGAGACAGAGTAGGGAGCAGAACAGGCTGACTGACGAAGTACAATGCTGAGGAGAGCAGCGGGCGGGTCAGGAGAGGTCTGCCTGGCCATGTGGATCTCCTCCAGGGCAGGCAGGGATCGAACTCATGCGGAAGTGGCTTAAGCTTCCTTGTGCTGTGCTGTGCTTTAACCTGCTGCGCCACCAGGGAGGGCCACAGAACAAATTTTTTTTTTTTTCACAGAACAAATTTTAAAGAACACTTCTAGAGCAATAGCAGCATGACAGATTTGAGCAATAATTAATTTAGATAGAAGAAGAGCTTAGAAAGTGTGAAACAAAAGTCCTCAAGGGAAAAAAGCAGATATCCTCATATATCAATGAGTTCAGAATGATGCTAACTTGAGAGATCTGATGGTACAGGTATGTAAGACCCTCTACTCCCAGCCTCAATAAAAAGTTTGCATGGGCCTTCCTGGTGGTGCAGGGGTTAAAAGTCTCAGTGCTATTAAGCTCTCTGCAGCCACTGTGGTATAAGTTTGATCCCTGGCCAGGGGGCTGATCTACATGGCACAGGAGACCTTTCCTGTCGTTCGCCCTCTGTTCCCCTTATCACTGTATTTCAGTCAGTCTGCTTATTTGGCTCCCCACTCTGTCTCTGGTGAATCCTCTCACCTCCCGTACCTCTGGACTATACCCCAATTCATGAACAAATTATAACTTAAAAAAAAAAAAAAGTGTGTAAATTAGAAGGGAAAAATAACATAGCATTATGGCTCATCCTAATAATGTTAATTTGTGGGCCCTCCCTGGTGGCGCAGTGGGTCAAAGCACAGCACTAAGAAGCTTAAGCCACTTCCGCATGAGTTCAATTCCCGCCTGCCCCGGAGGTGACCACATGGCGTGGCAGACCTCTCCTGACCCGCCCGCTGCTCCCCTCAGCAGTGTACTTCGTCGATCTGCCTGTTCTGCTCCCACTCTGTCCCTGGTGAAGCCTCTCACCCTCCGCATCTCTGGCCTGTACCCCAGTTCTTTATGAATAAATAAATAAATCTTTAAAAAGAAAATAATGTTAATTTGTGTGTCGGGGGACCAGCCCGGTCATGGGTTGTCTTGGGTTGTCGGAGGGCAGAACAGGCAGGGTCTTAAGGTTGGAGCGGTGTCGGCGAGCAGAGATTCCTCCTCTTTTCCCCCTTTTTAGGACTCTCCGCTCACAGACACCGCTCCTACCTTAAGACCCGGCCTGTTCTGCCCTCTGACAACCTGTGATCAGGCCAGTCCTCAACATTTGTGATACTACATTGGCAAGGTAGAGGTTGGAGAGGTGAGATAGTACTAATAAGGTCTAGAAGGTAAATTACAATCTGTAACAGAAAGTCAACATCAATGACTAAAATTAATAATATCGCATAGACAAGTACGCATTTTTAGAATTATAGTGGTAGTGGAAGAAACGGTCAGAATAAGTTGAAAGTGGCAGTCTCTTTGGAGTGAGTTTAGGAAACAGAAGACAGGGATTGCTATTTTTTGTTATAGTCGTTTTGGACTTTTAAATAAAAAACAAAACTAATTCCTTTAAGCATATGTTCTAGAAAATTCAAATTTTTAAAAAGTTTCTCTGGAGAAGGGCCCAGGACTATGTATTTCTAAGAGGTTCCTAGAGGATTATGATGTAGACAGGTCCATTTGGGAACCACTGATAGAGAACTGAATGGAAGAGGAAACCAAAAAGGTCAAATGACAGATGGTCAGTGACCAAGCTGGAGGCAGATCCTGGACTAGGCATTAATTCAGCACTCAGCAACTGTGTGAAAACAAAAGTTTATTATTGGCTGGTAAATGGTTCAAATTCCTTGGGTGTGAAAGATCTGAGCATCTGAGCATCTGAGATCAGTTAAATGACTTTATCTGCTAATTAGCACAGTAGGAAACTTAATATGCTTGGAGAATAACAGTAGAGAGGTTGAAAAAGGTCTTTTTAGCTCCTCTATTGATAAGGCTCCTGCCAAAAGTTCAACATAAATCTATAACCTTAAAAGCAGAACTTAAAAAAAAAAAATTACTGGCAGTAATGTTCAAGAACCTTTGAAATGTTCCCAACACTTATGTTTCCTGTAAAAGGGCAACAATATTTTCTATATTTTGTTGTCTCATCAAGTGAAGTCAGGTATCAGGCACCTACAAGCAGTCATATCATTTACTCAGTGAGTGAGATGAAGATAGCAGCACCCACAGTACTGGCAGCTTCTCACACTGGTTTTGCTGCAGAGAGCTAAGAGGTGGGGAGTGAGCACTAGCCGTGGAGATGGAAGATCTCTGTTTAAACCTGGCCTCATTTTGGAACTCTGAACATGGAATGAACACTTCTAAATTTATACAAGAATGAGAGTTAATCTTGAGGATTAATAAGGTAACAACCATGGAAGTATGGCATAGTTTCTGGTGCAAAAGAGCCACCTGGTAGCTACTATTGTGATTATTAACATGCGTTGAAGGTAAGCGTGGGCAACTTTAACTGGCCTGCCTTCAATTCCAGTAAACAGCGGAATGTGTAGCTAGCCATCTTGATGCTTTCAAAAAAGATTTCAATTTCATTAGAACTTTATTTCTTTTACTGCAAATTTTTCCTTCTTTCTTTATCTCTCTAGTAAATCATTATCTATGCAATTCCTTCCTTGGGCAAATGATATCCACTAGCCTTTAAATTAGTAAAAGACATCATTTGTACACTATTTTTATCTGTTGGCCTTCTAAAGAACACTGACTAAAGTTATCTCTCCCCACCCCAGATGAGAAAACCACAGAGTACTGCCACTGGAAATACAGGGGTATTTTGCAAAGCAAGCTAAATGATTTATTTGTTCAGGAGATTATGATTTTAGGTATGTGTTTTCCCTAGTTCAACATAATGGCAAGAAACAGTAGGTAACAGAAGCCCAAAATCATGTATACAAACATTTTCACAATGAAAAAAAAAACTGAACAAGAAGAGATTTCTAGTCTAGGCCGCTGGCACAATGAATTCGGTTAATATTCAATGATAAAATTCAATTAAGAAAAAATAAATCACAATCTGAACATTCAGGATTGAAAGCTACAACCAGTAGAGGGAGCTATAAGCTTGAAGGCCTCACTGGACTGCAGTCAGCTCGAGTGTTGGGGAGCCAGATTCCACCTGCTCTTGCATCCATCCATACTCTGCCATAAAAAGACAACCACTTCAGTGATAAAACTCCACAAGGCCATTGGAACTGGCTGGGATAAAAGCACACTCTATTCTAGACACTTTTTACTGCTAATATAACAACAAACACCTAGACTTAAATGAAACAAGCATCATTGTTCTTATTCTTAAAAACAAGGTAAACAGAAACAACATGCACACAAAACACACACATACACACACACCTTGCTGTCATCAAAACAAGAGGCAGAAAAACTACTTACCGCAAAAACCCCTCGAACTACCCAGCCATGGTGCTGCCGTAATGTTTTACCATAAGCATTATCTTGAAAAGAAGAAAAACTCCATTAGAAACTGTTTTATCACAATTTGATGTGCTGTTCATATCATCTTGCTTTTTTTTTTTAAGATTTATTTATTTATGCATACAGAACTGGGGTACAGGCCAGAGGTGCAGGGACAGTGAAAGGATTCACCAGAGACAGGGAGCAGAACAGGCAGATCCATGAAGTACACTGCTGAGAGGAGCAGTATGTGGGTCAGGAGAGATCTGCCACACCATGTGGTCACCTCCGAGGCAAGTGGGGATCGAACTCATGCTGAAGTGGCTTTAGCTTCTTAGTGCAGTGCTTTAACCCGCTGCACCACCAGGAGGGCCTGTATCATGCTGCTTTTAATGTATGCAGCAGCATAGTTCATTGGTTTTAGAAACTGATTAAAAAGAAGTCCAATTACAAGATCCTTTCTCCAAAGTCCTGAGAATAAAAAAAGTCTATACAGATTTTTAAAAAAGAAAAATAAGGGCCCTTCTTGGTGGTGCAACGGGTTAAAGCACATCCTGTAAGGCTAGCCACAACTGCTTATGAGTTGGAGCTCAGGCCGGGAAGGTGACTCACATGGCGCAGCAGACCTCTACTGTCTCTACTGTCTCACCCGCTGCTCCCTACTCTGTCTCTGGTGAATCTTCTCACCACCCTGGCACCTCTGCATGCATAAACAAATAAATCTTAAAAAAAAAAAAAAAAAGAAGAAGAATAGATAGCTACTCTTACCTTGTGTCAATAATCTGAATTTTGGATTATTATCGTTGTGGGAAATATTTAATACATAGATGGAAATACAGAGGGAGGAAAGGACAATGGAAAAATTTAGACTAAATACAACTAGACATACACTGTAAGAACATTAAAACACAATTGTTAGAAATGGTGTATGACCCTGAGTCAATCCCTTCCTCAGCTGTCCTCTCTAAATGTCCTCTCCCCCTTTATAAAATGACCTCCAAGATTTTTTTCAACTGTAGTATTTGATTCCTGATGTTAAATTTTTGTACTAAATATCCCTATAACTGTGGATCTACAGTATTAGTGCAAAGAACCTTTAAAAACTTTATGGAAAGAGTGGCTTTATGTTATTAAGCCAGTAATAAATTCAGGCCTACTAATGAATCACTCATATTTTATACTTTGAAGGTGACAGGGTGTTATTTTTGTCCCAGTAAATTTCATGTATAAAAAGACTATAAAACTGGTACATATGAATTCAATTATTGAAAAGAATTGCAATAACAAGATGACTGTTATATTTTATGCAAGGAATGTGTTCCTTAAGGCTTTGAATAATTCAATATGTGCAAAATTCAAAACTGGTTTTTCCATAGGTACTGATACACTTTTAGGAGGCAAAGATCTAAATTACCATAGTGTATTTCTATTTCGGTGGTCCATTTTATTTTCTAATCATCATCTCCAGTAGTTTATGGAATGTCTATTCCTAAATTAACTGTGTATGGTAGGAATTATTTTCAATTCTTTATCATGGTTTACCATATCTAAATTCTATGCCAAACACATGTGCCAGTTTCAGTAGTAGCAGAAACAGAATTTAGCAAATCAGAGTCATTATGATATAAAAGTATTTTAAATTATAACAGCTGAACATAAAATAACACAAAGACAGATATCAAAACCACAGGTTTCAATGTAATAAAAAGTGTGGGTCACAGATTACTGACAAAGGACATCAGGTTTTACTGACTAAAATGGAGTTGTCATATGACTGTAGCTTAAACACCATTTACAACTTTAAGCCTCTTGCTTTGAAATTATGTGAACCCTGTCAACATTTATTTAAAAAAAACTGGGGTATGGCTTTGCAAATACTTTTAGCATATCCTACTGTTTAGTATATCTTGCATAAAATTCAATTATATTTGAATCTGTAATAGCTGATTTCCCTCGTTATTTATCTACAATTTAAGAAAAACTAGTTGAAATATCAATATCTAGTCTGGTAAAGTTAAAGCAGAAATAATAAGGAATTAAATTCAAGTATGAAGACAGTCTAACAGAGAACCCCAAATTTAGTTTTTTCCTTAGTAAACAGTCTGAAAAGACTAGGGCATGGTCAAAGATAGGAGTTTCAACTTAAAACTTGTCTTGGTAAAGTAGCTTCAGGAGTATGAAGGGCTACTGGACTACCAGTGTACAATACAGATGGGCAAAAGACAACAGGCATAGCTTCTGAGCGAATTAGCAAGACAACTCGGTACCCAACCATCTAATAAATCATCTGGTCAGCAAAATAATAGCTAGCCCATGGCCACAGAGGGGAGATAGTTGGAATATTTTTTTTTTCTTGTGAATCTGATTCAGGTAAAGCATAAAGTACCATTATAAATAAATAAATTAACTTTAACATCATTAAACACTGCTGGTGGAAATAGTAGATTTCAACAAGAATTTAGTGAAATTCTACAATACTTCCCGTTCTTTGCTAGGCAGCAGAGAGGCCTGGGTGATTTAAACTCCAGTCAGTCCCATGACTTCAGGATATTCAAGGTTTATAATAGAGCCAGCCATTTAACATTTAATTATTAGTATGTATTATATATAATAATTATTATCATCATTATGCAAGTTGAATGCTGCAATGAAGACTATATACAATGCTATAAGGATAAAAAGGAAGAGATGACTCCAACCTGAGGCTTGTGAGTTGGGAATTCTCAGAGTTGCAAAGGGTAGGAAGGGCAGAGTAAAGGGTAGTGGCAGACAGAGTATGTGCCGTGGAGTTGTGAGAGGTCTTGGCATGCTGGACAATGGAGAGAGTTTACTGGAGCTGGGGTCAAACTAGAGAACTTTTACAGACCATGTCAAGGATTATGAAATTCTACTTAATGCACAGAGGGAAAAATAATATATATTATCCTCTACCCTTTCATAAATAATACAAGCTCACTGTTCAAAAAAAAAAGGAAGGAAGGAAGGAACCTCAACTCATGCCTACTAATGATAACCACTGTACCACGGTGTGAGCATTCTGGAATACAGCCTCTTTGTTTATCTTCCTACACAAAAATCATTATTTTCTTCTAGTAACCAAGTTGTGATCATTGTGATACAGGAATGTGCTAGAGAAGTAAGGAGGTAAAAGTCACAGTATGAACTGATTGTGGCCTATCCTGTTCTTTGAGCCTTCAGCTCCAAAGTCGACCTAGCCAGGCAAATTCTAACAAGGGCTTTGGAACCAAGGCCACATCAACTTGGAACCTGATACTTTTCTGAAACTTTGCCATTTAAGTCAAACATTCACAGAAAGTCCAGAACACTTCTCTACATCCTCTTTTATAGGACAGCAAGAAGAACATCCTGAGCCCATGTCATCTGGGTAGCTAGGGTTAAGGAACAGCATGCATATGTGCAGCAACTCTATCTGTGCTCCACCCACCCTCACAGTCCTTCTATGGTCACAGATCCTTGCTATGCCTGCACTCTGCCAGAGAAAAGTTCCTCAGGGCCAGTGATCTAAAGAAGAGGGAGTAAGAGAATTTGGACTGGTCTTGACTTAGGCCTGCGAAGACCACCACTGCAACTTAAAATTAACCAGCTAAGTTAAACTTGTTAAAACAACAACAAACTTGCCAAAAATCTTTAGCTAGCATATAGGGCTGCAAATATTCCTGTCACATGAGGCTGCATTAAAATAAGATGAAGTCTAAGCCTGACCTATTTTGGGTACCTAGAGAAGATCAGATAATGAAATACATTATGAAATACATTAATCTTCACTGTAACACCCATTCATTATCATAATGTATATTCTAAAATCTGGGAGTATTTTTGGCCTCTAAAAGACATAAATGATGCTTTTCTCCCATTCTTTGAAATGTGTCAGATCCTCAGACTGAGTAAAAATTTCTTTAAAAAAAATTACTTATTTGTGCATACAAGAAATGAAGTGTAGGTCAGAGTGAGAGAATTCACCCAGAGACAAGAGTAGGCAGCAGAACAGACAGATCTACTGAAATAGGCTGCTGAGGGGAGCAGAGGGTGAGACAGGAGAAGTCTGCTGTACCATGTGGGTTAGCTCCCTGGTTGGGGATAGAACTCATGCCACAGTGATAGCTTGATAGTAATGAGACTCAACTCCTATGCCACCAGGGAGGCCTTTGAGTCAAAATTTCTAAGCATAAAGTCTTCACAATTCACCTTTTTCACTGTATGAACTTCTCTTCTTTTCACAATCAAACAGAAGATCCAGAGAGCGAGACTTACCAAAGATCACAAAACTAAAAGCAACCAGAACTTGGGTAATTTTTGTCACATTACACCATTCTTCCTTATTTACTCTTTGAAAATAAAGATTTTGCTTTTTACAACTGTTTCCTGAAAAATGTGACACCTTATTCTGTTTTGGAAAGACCTTGTTTCTTTATGGGAACTCAGAACCCTGGTATAAGGGATTTAGAGACCATACCTAAAACCCGTTAGTTACAATAGCCGGGTGAAAACAACACTCCCATGATTATTGGCAGATTGATCATATAAGAATTTTTCTCTATTGTAAATGTACAACTAGTTAAGAATTTGCAAAGTTATTTTGGATTATAAAGGGGAAAATGAGATAAGCAAAGGGAAAGTAGATAAGCAAAGGTGGAATTGTGATTTTTCACTGATCTTAAGAAGTGACAATCTCAGCTCTGGAAATGAAGGAGTCCATAGGCAAGACTCAAGAATCAGGAGAGATTTGAAAGTAGGAGTTAAGTTTACAAGAGGCTGCACAATGGCAGAGTGTGCCTACCCGAGGTACCAGGACAGAGAACTAAGTTCAGTAACTCACTTCAAATGTGAGGGACCCTATTCTGCAAGAACCATATCTTATTATAAAGCACAGGGATAGACACACTGAACAATGGATCAGAATAGAGAACAATGGAGTCTAGAAAAGGTCCATACACATGCCAGTGGTGGTATTACATGGAAGGAAGGCTAGATAATCCAATAAAAGCTGCTGCGACAGCCAGTTTTTATACATTCTCAAAAA